TTCTTCAAAAAACTGATATCTATATCAATTAGCAATTCTTGATGGTAATTTGCATGAAGAAATTTATACCGAACCTCCTCAGCTCCAAGATATTTAGATTCTGTAGATTCCAGAGTTTGCCAACTTGTCAAAAGTTTATATGGACTCCAACATGCCTCTTGAAAATGGTATTTCAAGCTTTTCGAATCTTTAATTTCAAGCTCAAGCTGATTTTTCTTTAATTTTTTTTGGTAAACTGATTTGTCTTTAATTAATTACAAAATTTAATGGAAACTCTTTTACTGTTCTATTAGTTTATGTTAATCACTAACAAGGTGTTGTGAAATCACCCATTAGTTACCACGTACACACACAGTTGCAGTAACTACACCCATTATGTATCCCACACACAGTTTTAATAACTATACCAATTAGTTACCCGTTTCTGAACTGCTAACTCTTACTAGTCTCATTAGTTACTACAGATATTAAACTATACTTCTCACAAATCCTCAATGAGTAGTTACTTGTTAGTTACCACGCACATTTGTAGTACCTGTGCAATTAGTTACCCATATATGATCAAAATCCACACTCTTACTGCATGGCTGGTCCCTTAATTAGTTAGTACAGGTATTGCACTATACTTCTCACTAATAATCAGTGACTAGTTCGCTGCCACATTCACGCTCAACCATATCCAATAACATCAATCATAAAAAATAGTCATTCAAGAGCATGAATCAAACTAAACCCAATTTTAGCTATGTTTCAAAGGTATTGTCTACCCTCTTCTTACGCTTGTTATTACGCCATTAAATTAACCTCCATCTTTTAGCTACGTTTTAGCCTGCGTTTACGTATAGTTAGTTGCCACATATTCAGCCGCCCCGCGTATCTGTTTCGTGCGTATTTATCATACAGGGGCAACTTTGTAAACTTGGTATACATGCTTATACGGTTATATCATTGCCACATTTCCTTTTCCCCTTATTTAACCGGAAGTCAGTTTTTTGTCCACATAATAACTAGAGGTAATATATACGTCAAAACCTCAAACCATGCATTTTTGTTCACCTTGACAACTTCGACCGAAGAAAAAAGAACAAGTATTTTTTCCTTCTAAAGCAGATTTTAATTTGCTTTAGCAAAACTAGCACATGTCAAAATTATTTTGTACTACCAAAAATTTGTTTACTAGTCTAAGAGTCTGAGAGTACATGTTAAAATTGTTTAGGAAGAAAACCTAAACAGTAGGTTCTTAACTTCTTACCATTTACCAAATTAAAGCATCTTTTTTTAAAACAACCAAATTGAATGACCTGATATATCCTGCAGTGAAGTTCATCACGAAACAAACAATAATATATAATACCTCAATCCGGCAATCTGGCCAAGCAAATCAGAATATGGCATGGGGTTTTATTTGTTTTTAATAAGAATCACTCATATATACGTAGCAATAACGTAATATATGAAAAGAAACCAAACTAGATTCACTCACAATATGGGGTAGAATATAATAATTTTAACACGTAGCATAAGTGTTTACACGATTAAACGGGGTAAAAGGAATAGAAGAGGAAACCATAAAAACAGATGAAATTTAGAGCCCGTTTGGTAGCACGAAAATCGGCTGTTTTAGTGCTGAAATTTATGAAGTTTCATGATGATATCACTGCTCTGTGTTACTGCAATACCAGTAGTCATAATCAATGCCCAACAAATTTTTTTAATTCATTCATTCACTGCCATGTTCAATATGTCTATTACCATATAGATTCACCGTCCACAACACATACTTATTGGAATATTCACTGACGGTGTTCAATGCGCATATTTAATGCCCAAAAACCCTAAATTCAATAAAATCTAATCTCAAAAGTATATGCTCCCTTTGCAATCTGATCTGAGGGCCAGTAGGTCGAACATCTGCAGGTTCTGCACTCCTTCATCATTGCTTCATAATACATAATTTCATACATAATACAGAGTAATCAATTATGTACTCCATAGGAAAACACGTATGACATACATTATGACCATTCCAGAAAGCAATCACAAAAAGGCATAGAAAGAGTATTCGATCAAGAATTCAAAAACAAGGTTTTCAAGATTCAAACAACAGGCTATTCAAGAATTCAAAAAACAGGGTATCGGAACAAAAAAATAATTTCTTGTGACGTGATGGAGGTTGGGGCACGGATGGGAGGCGGTACGCACGGCCTGGGACAGCGGCACCGAGGTCGGGGAAGGGGCGCAGAGGTCGCATAAATTTTATCTCTTTTATATGTTTCTAGAGATTCTTTAAGATATTGAGCTTTTTTTCTTCGATTCATGGAATTATATTTGATAATATATGGATTTACATCTTCATGTGCACAAGTTACATCTAGCTTACATGGATTTACATTTGTCATAATGCAAATTACACCACAAAACAATACAAATTACACAACAAAATAAACACATGTTATTCAAACAAAAATGATTTTTATTAAAAATCATTCTTAAAAACAAAACATGTACACTATTTATGTTAATCTTTTTATTCATTATTCACATTACTCAATGTTTCACTTCTTATATTCTGTTTTACACCACTTACATTTTATCTTGACTCAAGTTACATTTTTTATTAATGTGGGTTACATGGTTTTACATATGAATTACACCAGCCTATTGCTTGAATTTAAAAAAAAAACTAATGCTCACTTTAATGTTTTCATGATTAACCGAACTCGTACAACTGGTTTTAACACAAGTAATGTAAAAATCATAGAGGGGGAAATACACAAATTTAGGTGTCAAACGGAGGAGAGACTATTCATTGCGGATCCTAATATATCAGACTTCCAACAAACTTCCGTAGTAACTTCTGAATGAATTTTGTGATGATTGATTACTTTTTAGCCATAGTATATTAGTATTCAATAATTCATTAACATTTTTTTTTGGATACAATTTTAGGAAATGGTTGAGGAGAGACTGGTTAAGAAGATAATAATGTTGGAGTGAGGCTCAGAGGGTGATATGACTATATATCCAGTTTTTTTTGGAAGAGTTAAATTTTGTTGGAAAAAAACACGACTATTTAAATATTGATTGAAATTATTTAAGTGTATTTTGAAGAGTTATTTTGATAACATATAATATAAATGAGGTCATTGATGATAATCGTGATATTATAGGCATAATATTTGATTACTAAACTATCATTTAAGAGTGTTAATTATTTTTCAAAATAGGAAATGAGAATCTTTAGTTTTGTTTGAAAGGATGAGAATATGTTGTTGTAACATCTAAACAATTGATTTGTGACCAATGTTTTATCCATCTCAAATTAAACTGGCAAATTTTGTATTCCACATTTACACCATATCGGCGACACTAGCCGAAATAAAGTGTTCCAACCATATTTTGGAAAGCACCCTTTGTAACACCCCGGCCCCACCAGACCCGAGGTAGTTACTCCGGACCAATAGTACTGTCCTCACAAACCGCCACTAGCCTTTTCCGCGCACTTTGTCCTCACTCGTGCGCGCCCTGAGAAACTTCCCAGGGGGTCACCCATCCCAAGACTACTCCCGTGCGAGCACGCTTAACTTTGGAGTTCTTGGTGATGAGCTCCCTTAAAAGGAGATGCATCTTGTTGGTATGAGTAGTACTATTAATCCATTTATATTAAATCTCAAGTGTTACACCCTTACCCAACCCAAATTACCCCAAAATTTTTCTTGTAGAGAAAAAAGAATCCTTAACACTCAAACAACGATGTTTTCTTTTGGACTGAAATTTGCTGATATGGTCTGGTCTGATCTGTTCTATATTGTTGTGTTTAAGTCTAGTTCGGTGTGGTTTGGTTTGAACTGGTCTGGTAAATATCTGATCTCTGTAAATTTTTTAACTGTTCAAGTCTGGACTTGTCTCAGGTCTATTTAAGTCTTGTTTATTATTGTCTAGTCTGATTTGGAATTGAAAATAGTCCAAAAAAAGTACCAAGTCTTCAAAGTTCCACGCGAGCTTAACTTATGGTCCACATAAGATGCGATCTTTAATTATTTAATTTTCAGTAAATATTTTTTTGAGTATTCAAATTCTCAGTTGGCAAACAATTCTCCCTCGTGACAAGAAGAGATTTTTAGAAATATTCTAATTTTCATTAGAGTCCCATATATCCTCCACCATTGAAATAGGAACTCTAAATTGAGACGTGACCCAAAAAATTCATTCCAGGAAAATGAATTGATGAGATCTCCATATATTCCCTCAAACTTCAGAATTTTGAATACTTAAGGAGTGTTTGCAGTTGATTAAAAAAAGCACTTTTCAGCTTTTGGCTTAAAAAAAGTTAAAAAGAGTGTTTTCAAATGACAACTTCTGCTTAAATTAATCACTTAAAAGCTAAAAGGTGGAAGCAGGTGGAAGAGTGTTTTAAACTGCTTTTCACTTTTTCTATTACACAAAAAGTACTTATTTTACCAAACACTACCAATTTTTACTTTTTTCATAATCACTTTTTCCTCAAACACTACCAACTTTTACTATTAATCACTTTTCCTCAAATCATTTTAAAAAATCACTTTTTTAAAGTTGAAGCAATTGCAAACACTCCCTTAATACCACTCGAATTGGACTCTGCATTTGCAAAATCTAAGAATTTGACCTAATTCTTTAAAAAAAGAATTCGACCTAATTAGAGTACCAAATGGGATCAGTATCACCAATCCTAACACTTGACCCTCCTGTGTGTCCTGTGGTTTTTCAGCTATCTCTAAGACGACCCCCACACCAATGGTCCAATAGGATTCCCTTCATGAGTAGGACCTCGGTTACCCAAAATAGAGAATAATTCTTGCCCATTCAATTTTCATTGCCTACCTATATCTATATTCATTATTACTTTATGTCATTATTAACCATTCAATTTTCATTGCCAACCTACTCTTTAACTGCAAATTCCCCTTCATCCTCCCCCTATACAGCGTTTATACCTAATCTATAAAGCCCCTTCATAATAATCTTCAAAGAAAATACTACGCATCTCCGATCCTATTCAACCATGTCTTCTTTTAACCAACTTTTTCGCACTATCATAATCTTTTTTTGTTCCAAAGCAAGTCTTGCCATTTCCAGTTGCTTTTCCCGAAGGGGACCACACTATGGTAAGCAAGCTAGTATATTTCTTATCCCCAAATTCTCCCTATTTTAATAGCTTAAGAACACATAGAGAAAAAGCTTATATTAAAAAACTGTCAAATAGATCCTCGCACTATTATGGAAAAGCCAATTATGTTCTCATTCTTTTTAAAAGTTCAATCAAATCCCCGAACATTGTAAAAATGTTCAATTGAGTTGGCGATTTACATGCCATTTCTCATGTCAGCAGGTCACCAGCTGACGTGGCATGCACGTGGACCGTCACGTGTGTGTCACGTCATCAGCAAATGACTAACTAGAGTTCCACATGTGCATGCGCCACATAAGCAAAGTCACTGCTGATTGGGCTACCACTTGTGTGCCACGTCAGCGGCTGACCTGCTGATGGCAAGTAGCCTGCAAATAAACTTGATTAAACGTTTTTACAAAAGTTTGTGAGTTTATTTGATTGATTTTTTTAAAAGTCTGAGGACCTAATTGACTTATTTATGATAGTACGAGAACCAAATTGACAGTTTTCCCTTTTTAAATGAATCATCTAGTCTCCCTTGAAGTAAACACGTACTCCACCTCATCATACTTTGTCTATATATATATATATATATAGAAATTACTTCAAATAGGACTAAAACTATGGCAAAAACTAAAAATAGGACTTGCTATGTTTTTATTCCAAAATAGGACCATAGTGGTCCTATTGGAAACATACCCATTTCTTCCTTCCATTCTTACCCCTCCTTTAAATATTAGTAAAAGATAGCTAAAAGTCATAATTAAATGTTTAATTCATAATAAATCCGAAAAAATTTCAATAATTCGTAGAAAAATAATAAAAAAATTAAAAAAAAAATTTATAAAACAAAAAATAATTAACAAAAAATTCTTAATTTTTTTCTGAAAATTAATAAAAAATAGTAAAACTCCATAAAAAAATTAAAAAAAATATGGATACCTTTCCCACCGCCTGTACCACCTCCTTGAACCACCACCTCCGATCGGTGTAAAAAATGGCATATTGTGCCAACATTTTCATTTTGCCAACTTGAATCCTTTTGACTTTTGCCAAAAATATGGCATTCATAATTTTTTTGGCATTTTTTTACCCCGGTGACAGGAGGTGGTGGTACCGCCTCCCTGCACCACCACCTCCAACCGTTAAAAAAAATGCCATATTTCCTACAAACTTCCATTTTTTTTTGGAAAATGCAAAAAATATGGCATATTTCTCTTTGACAATGCCAACATTTCTTTCTGCCATCTTAAATCATTCTGAATTATGCCAAAAATATGGAATTCATAATAAATTTGGCATTTTTTCCCCAAATGACTAGAGGTGGTTGTGTTGGGGTGGCAGAGGCGGCGGTGACAATATTTTTTTTGATTTTTTTAATTGTTTTATTTTTTTTATTTTTTTTAAATTTATTATTATTCAAAATATTTTTATTAATTTTTTGGTATATTTTTCGAATTTGTATTATTTTTTATTATTTTATTATGAATTAAAACATTCCAATAGGTATAAGGGTATATTTGTCCAAGACACACATAATTAGTCCTATGGAAACATAGTTTATTTTTTGGTCCTATTTGTGCAAAGTTAATGACTTTTAGTCCTATTTTGATAATTAACTCATATATAAATACACACACATAATATATATATATATATATATATATATATATATATATATATATATATATATTGATCTAAATAAAATAACTATTATGGGATTTCATATTCATACTCATTTTTTTATATTTTTTATATTCATAAACTTTTAATTATTTGTAATATAATTTAATATTTATACATTTTTCTATCGCATAAATTTTATCTCTTTTATATGTTTCTAGAGATTTGTTTAGATATTGAGCTTTTTTTCTTCGATTCATGGAATTATATTTGATAATATATGGATTTACATCTTCATGTGCACAAGTTACATCTAGCTTACATGGATTTACATTTATCATAATACAAATTACACCACAAAACAATACAAATTACACAACAAAATAAACACATGTTATTCAAACAAAAATGATTTTTATTAAAAATCTTTCTTAAAAACAAAACATGTAGAGTACTATTTATGTTAATCTTTTTATTCATTATTTACATTGAACTCAATGTTTCACTTCTTATATTTTGTTTTACACCACTTACATTTTATCTTGACTCTAAGTTACATTTTTTATTAATGTGTGTTACATTGTTTTACATATGAATTACACCAGCCTATTGCTGGAATTTAAAAAAAAAACTAATGCTCACTTTAATGTTTTCATGATTAACCGAACTCGTACAACACAAGTAATGTAAAAATCATAGAGGGGGAAATACACAAATTTAGGTGTCAAACGGAGGAGAGGCTATTCATTGCGGATCCTAATATACTTCCAACAAACTTCCGTAGTAACTTCTGAATGAATTTTGTGATAATTGATTACTTTTTAGCCATAGTATATTAGTATTCAATAATTCATTAACAATTTTTTTTTTTTTTTTGCATACAATTTTAAAAAATGGTTGAGGAGAGACTGGCTAAGAAGATAATAATGTTGGAGTGAGGCTCAGAGGGTGATATGACTATATATATCCAGTTGTTTTTTGGAAGAGTTAAATTTTGTTGGAAAAAACACGACTATTTAAATATTGATTGAAATTATTTAAGTGTATTTTGAAGAGTTATTTTGATAACATATAATATAATGAGGTCATTGATGATAATCGTGATATTATAGGCATAATATTTGATTACTAAACTATCATTTAAGAGTGTTAATTATTTTTCAAAATAGGAAATGAGAATCTTTAGTTTTGTTTGAAAGGATGAGAATATGTAGTTGTAACATCTAAACAATTGATTTGTGACCAATGTTTTACCGCAAATTTTGTATTCCACATTTACACCATATCGGCGACACTAGCCGAAATAAAGTGTTCCAACCATATTTTGGAAAGCACCCTTACCCAACCCAAATTACCCCAAAATTTTCCTCCTATAGAAAAAAGAATCCTTAACACTCAAACAATGATATTTTCTTTTGGACTGAAATTTGCTGATATGGTCTGGTCTGATCTGTTCTGGTTTGTTGTGTTTAAGTCTAGTACAGTCTGGTCTGGTTTGAAGAGGTCTGGTAAATATCTGATCTCTGTAAATTTTATAATTGTTCAAGTCTAGTCTTGTCTCAGGTCTATTTAAGTCTTGTTTAGTCTTGTCTAGTCTGATTTGGGACTGAAAACAGTCAAAAAAAAAACATATACCAAGTCTTCAAATTTCCACGCGAGCTTAACTTCTGGTCCACATAAGATGCGATCTTTAATTATTTTTTCAGTAAATATTTTTTTGAGTATTCAAATTCTTGGTTGGCAAACAATTATCCCTCGTGACAAGAAGAGATTTTTTAGAAATATTCTAATTTTCATTAGAGTCCCATATATCCTCCACCATTGAAATGGGAACTCTAAATTGAGACGTCACCCAAAAAATTCATCCCGGGAAAATGAATTGATGAGATCTCCATATATTCCCTCAAAAGCCAAAACTTCAGAATTTTGAATACTTAATACCCCTCGAATTGGACTCTGCATTTGCAAAATCTAAGAATTCGACCTAATTGTTTAAAAAAAGCAGGAATTCGACCTAATTAGAGTACCAAACGGGATCAGTATCACCAATCCTAACACTTGACCCTCCTGTGTGTCCTGTGGTTTTTCAGCTATCTCTAAGACGACTCCCACACCAATGGTCCAATAGGATTCCCTTCATCAGTAGGACCTCGGTTACCCAAAATAGAGAATAATTCTTGCCCATTCAATTTTCATTGCCTACCTATATCTATATTCATTATTACTTTATGTCATTATTAACCATTCAATTTTCATTTCCAACCTACTCTTTAACTGCAAATTCCCCTTCATCCTTCCCCTATACAGCGTTTATACCTACTCTATAAAGCCCCTTCATAATAATCTTCAAAGAAAATACTACGTATCTCCGGTCCTATTCAACCATGCCTTCTTATAACCAACTTTTTCGCACTATCATAATCTTTTCTTTGTTCCAAGTCCTGCCATTTCCAGTTGCTTCTCCCGAAGGGGACCACACTATGGTAAGCAATCTAGTATATTTCTTATCCCGAGATTCTCCCTATTTTAATAGCTTAAGAACACATAGAGAAAAAGCTTATATTGAATTAGAGTCTTCCCTTTGTCGTGCATCATATCTATTGGGAAGGGATACTGGAAACTTTTTGTGGCATACTAGTGCCGACGTAAATTTTGAAATCGTGCCTAAAATATCCGGGGTTGGCTTTATGGCCCATGTCCGGGTTGGGACTAGAAATGTGGATCAATATCTCTATATGGACACGGGGTCCTCCTTGCTTTGGGTAAAGTTTGGCCCAACTGAAGATTACACATATATGGCCGCTGCCCATATATAAACCAAATGAATCTTTCACTTTTCAACTAGAAAGATGCTTATATACTTCGGTCTGTGATAATCCCGGTATTAGTGTAGTTCTTGACTGTAAGCGCGGTAACTAGCGTAGTGAATACCTTTTTCATAAAATATGCTAATAATGAAAGTGCATTTGGAGTTCTGGGGAGCGAAACTTTCAAAGTTGGTAGGAGTATATAGATTTTGAAAAAGGTAGTATTCGGTTGTGCGAATGAGTCAAACGTTGTAGGGAATGGTATATTCGGGCTCTCGCCACGTAGTACCCTTTCTTTTTTTTTATCACAAAGAAAGGCCTCTAAATTTGCTTATTGCATTGGAAACCTAGACATTCCATCTTATCCCTACAACACATTAGTGGTGGGAATGCAATTGATCTTCGGGGAACCAAGACTAAATTGTATGTTGCTGGTTACTATATAATAAACTTAGAAGGAATTAATATAGGGGAAGAAGCTGCGCACTTACTTTAATCTTGCTGGTTACACATTATTGCTGATTACTATCTCACACCGGCGGGAATGATCATTGACTCCGGTTCT